CTAGCATTTTTTGATCGCGCCTTCTAATTTTACCTCCCTTCCTAAGCCGTCTACAAAGCCTTACCTTTAACAGAGGGACGATGAAAGATGAGCCCCTTGTTTCAGCGGGGCAACTGCAACACGTTCATGTCAGTACGCTAAATTGAAGTAGCAGTTGACCGAGCGGCGATAATGGATCCTGGCAACTAGCCAACACTCAAATAGCATTACCATTTTTTCTGATGCGCTCAGACGTCGTTTGTGATAGACGTTTATCATAAATTGTTCTTTTACTCTGCTCTTGTTGTCGGCCCGTGAAACTGTTGTTTAATTCTGAATCTTCGTTGTATTTTGGCTATTAATTTTCCCTCTTTAATGTTCTCCAGTTTTTTTCTTACTATCTTGACGGAACTTTCCATTAATAAACTTAAATGCTTATAATGTTCTTTAAATCCTTTTTTTTTTTTTTTTTTTTTGAATAAAATTTAGTTGTTAAAAACGATAATACATTGTATATGAAAATTTTTTTTGCTGAAACTTTGAATTTCTTGAAAGAAATTTTTTTTGTTGTAAAAGTTATCGAAACTTTTTACGTGAAACAGGCACATTGACTTGTTAGCGTAGGAGGGGACAGAATTTTTTATATATAGAATAACGGTGCTGTAATTTTTAAAACCGATGTAATAAGTATTTCAGGCAAAAATTTAATAATTGTAACGGCGTGTATTTTCATATGCTAAAATTATAACATTCTTTTTTTTTAATGGTATTGTAACGGACGTTTAGGTATGGTAGACGACGGCGACGATGAAGCTGCACTGCGGCAACTAATCGAGACTGAAATGCCAGAGGGAAGGTCAAGTCTTGAAAACAGTTCTGCAAATTTGGAACGAGTAGCTGCGTACTGTGAAGCTAACTATGCTCAGGTTCTAAAAGACTTTAGATTTTTGAGCTTTTTACTTTGCAAGGTTTTTATCCAAGTTATTACTTTTATTAAATAATCGTCTATTTCTGAAGCGATGCAAGCACGTTTTTGCATGTAACAAGAAACATTTACTCAATTTTTTAGACTGACGACAAAAGGGCTGCATTTGAAGAGACAAAACGTTTTGTTGTTCAGAGCTTGGCAAGCGTCGCTTACCAAGTAAATACTCTTGCATCTGCTCTGCTACAAACACTGGATTTACAAGCAGGGAAGATATCAAAAATATCTAATCAGGTCTTCCTCCTTGTGTTGCTTCTTTTCTTATCAAACATTTGGTTTTTTTAAGATAGTTATATATACTGTTTTTTACTCTCTGATACTTTGCTGTGCAAACGTTGCCTTATCTAGATGGAC